AAGAGTGTCATGAGTCATGTTGCATGTGAAGCATCATGGTATGCATTCTTGTGTGTCTGATTCCTCAGAGAATCTGCAGAACCTCGTGTGCCCTTGTGGGGTGTGAGCGATGGTTATTATATTGATTCCTCGGAGAATTCGCAGAACCTCGTGTGCCCTTGTGGGGTGTGAGCGATGGTTATTATATTTATTCCTCGGAGAATCTGTAGAACCTCGTGCGCCCTTGTGGGGTGTGAGCGATGGTTATTATATTGATTCCTCGGAGAATCTGCAGAACCTCGTGTGCCCTTGTGGGGTGTGAGCGATGGTTATTATATTGATTCCTCGGAGAATCTGCAGGACCTCGTGTTCCCTTGTGGGGTGTGAGCGATGGTTATTTTTGGTTCTTCAATTGACCCTGCTGAAATGAGTCGGTACCGCATTTGCATCTGCATAGAGTCGTGTGTCGGTCTCTATGAGTTGCATGTTGTCATCTTCATATGATGCATTGGTGAAATAAACATGATTGTAAATGTTTATGTGAAAATGATGTGAATTATAGAAGTATGATTGTATATGCTTATATGATTGACGATAAATGAAAAAAATAATGTATATGTGATTGTTATGAAAAGTGTGCATATGTATATGTATATATATGATATGTTGATGTGGGAGTGGTGAGTGTGCGAACTGATTGAGAAATGTGGCATATATGTATTTTATGATTGTTTGTGTACATAATTATATGCATTTGTTATTATGGTAATATTTCTCACCCTTCTGTTGTTTTATGATGCTCTACGAGGCATTGCAGATTAGGATTGCTGGAGGTGTATTTTGGAGTATAGCTCCTTTTCTCTTGAGTCGGTTGCTCTGATGTGTAACGTCGGGTAGCTAGGCTTGTAGAGTATCTTCGTGATACATTATATATATGTAATAGTTGATGATGTTTGGCAATCTGTGATTGATGTTATGAACAATCTAATGACGTGTACTTGTATTCTATCATGTCTTAAGTAATTCAATGTCTTAGTCTTCCTCTTTAACAGAAAACATGAATATGCTTATTTTAAGAACCATGTGTTTATTCTTTTTAGTTGAGATTTACCCCGTTTGAATTATTTCTTTATAAACATTAGTATTCATGTGGTCGGTTCGTGGATAATGTGACGCACTTCTTTTATACCATGAAATAAATATACTCTAATGGAATTTTTAATTCGTGCCTAAATGATTTAATTGTGTTATTTGGGGGTATAGAAAGGGGCGTTACAAGCTGCATTCTCGGAAAGTAGTTGCTCATACTCGCTTCTAATGCGACTTATTTCTAATCGGAGGGAAGCATTTTCTTCTTTTAAAACATTAGCATGCTGAGATAATTCGTCGCACTCAGGCTGAAAAGGGCACATGCAAACAGGAATCAGAAGCGTGACAATTATGAATGGCCAACCACTGAATGAAATAAAGGCTACAAGGAACTCTAAATGATCTGTTTGCGCAGCTTGGATCTCCGAGCATATTCCCTATTAGACTGCTTCCGCCTTTGCCTTTTAAGCTCTCTTTCATCCTAAAATTAACCAGAAAAAATATAAATATTTATATAAGAGGTGCAAAAATCATTGGTCTGTTGTAACAAATTAACCTGTAGCCAAAGTTGTGATTGAACACTATCCCGTGATCCACCAGTAATTATCCCTCCCGCAACTGCAATAGTCCACGAAGAGCAGGAATATTGGATGGAGCTGGCGTGCCCCAATAATCCATTCCTATATTTAGGTTTCTGCCTTTGGAGTAAAAGCTTCCCGATTCGTCCCGCACCCACCGTTCCTACGGTCTTTCCTTTAAGATCATAGGCTCTATGTGAAATGCCTGCAACATTCCATTATCCGGTAATAGACTGATGGTAACCAGGCACAAAATTCCTCACCAGAATGAGAATTCTCATGAGCTCATCCTCAGCCACCGACACTGTATTGCTTCCTGTGACCTCTGCGACGGTTAAACCAGCAGCAGCCGCAACATTGAGATCAATATGATCAGAACCAATTTCGGCAGTCAAAAGTAGCTCTAAATTATTAGCTTTCTTAATTCTTTCGGCGGTAACATAGGCAGGGTGAAATGGTGTAGATATCAAGACATGAAGATCAGGAATGTGCTTCTCAAGTTCTGATAACATGACAACAGAGTATACAATGTCATCAAAAGTGATAGAATGTGGTTCAAATGGAAGAACCATGCCTTTCTTCTTTCCATGGCTGGACTCTGTAATAGAATCTCCTCTTCCTGAACTTTCTGAAAGACAATAGAAAAAATATTCAGGAACTAAACTATATGACAGACTAACATATGTTTGTTTCATAAGGGATATGCATATAATCAAGAAAGCTCACCTCTGCGTGGTAATTCAACTTCTTGTACGGTCCTATCATTAGAATAATCATCTTCTGAATCATCAGGTATTGTTGCTTGAGGCTTATCAAATGGGCCTAGAACAACGAGAGCCACACCAAACATCAAGTTGAAAAGGAACACAAATCCAGCCAATCCTACGATGGTATCAATCAAAATGCAATCAAAAACTCATGACAAAATCAAATTAAAACTAAAGGGCAAATATTGAAGACAAGTCCATATCCTTCCAAAACAAGTTCCAAACAACATTGAAGCAGGATAATCTGAAAAAGGAAAATCTCACCAACAACGTTTTGACTTGTCTTGAAGTTAAACAGCATTGAAGCAGGATAATCTTTAAATGTCCGATTTTTATTTAAAAAAGGTTACATAAAGGATTGAAGTTAAACAACATAAGAGAGAGTGAAATGTTCCAACGAATAATTTACCTTGTCAATAATGGCTTCAAGGATTTCATTTTCCACATTCATGCCACATTCTGATAAAATGGCAACCACCATTTGTTGAACCTAGAAAAATTAGTAAGATAACAAAATAGTTACAAGCATTGGTAGATATAAAAGTATTGGGAGAAACAAGTTATACAAAACAGCAGAGTCCTAATGGCGGTTATTGGAACTGAGATTTAATCATTATTCAAAGGATAAACCACCACCACTTCTCTTCATTAAACTCGTAATTTAAACTGATATTGCAATATGAAAATTTCTAGTGCAATACATTCTAAGATAACAAAAATATGTTTGAGCCAATAACACTTTTGTAACCTGGATATGCGAAAATACTCACTTCTTCTCGTTCAATGTATCCAGTCTGTCTCAAGTCATACAATCTAAAAGCAACTGGAAACAAACCAAGAAAATATAATATATGTTTTATCAGTACTGATGGTATTAAAACATATAATATAAAAATAGAACTACAAAATGCTTACTGAGTCTTACAATCAATTTTCTTTTCCAAAGGAGTATTAGGATGAAAGACCCTGAGAGCATGCACAAACTCCTCAAATTCTATAACACCATTCTTTTTTTCATCAAAGAGATCAAACACCTGGGAGATTTTACAAACAGTCAACAAAGCTCAATCATACAACTCCTAAAGGAAGAATAGACATAAACAACACATCTTTCCGCAAATCAGGTATATGCATATCTGTCTAAATTTTAAAATGTTAGACTACGACAAACTTAATGCACTGATCCCTTGTATATTTTTATAAATACCGTATATTTTCCTTGTATTTAGTTTGCCAAAGCTTCATAATGCGAAAACCTCGACGCTCAAACAATCATTTCCAACTCAGTGAACAACATTAGATCTGCGGAGAATTGCAGCGAGGCCAAGATCACCAATTTTGACTTCTCCTTGGTTACCATTGATGAAAATGTTATCACATTTGAGATCTCTATGGATTACAGGAGGGTCCTGGCTATAGAGATAGAGAAGACCTTCCAAAATCTATCTGCACCAATGCTTAATAGCTCTTATGTTAACTTTTTTGTGTTTAAGTCTGTACTTGCATAGACAAGACAATGACTATAAGTACACTCACATTTCTACTATTTGTGGATAATAATGCTAGAATAACATGGTTTTTCCTTCTCAAAGAAAAGTCTGAACTAGGCCACATTTTTTGAAAATTTAATATCGTGATTCAAAGTTTCAAACCAAAATCCAAGTTCTAAAAACTGATAATGCAAGAGAATATTTTGAAACATCTCTTGACGAGTCTTTGGACAACCATGTGATCATCCATCGAAGCTCTTGTGTTGTCACCCCACGACAAAACGGGGTGGCAGAAAGGAAAGATAGACATGTCCTAGAAGATGCTAGTTTTCTAATGTTCAACACACATGTTCCAAAATTCTTCTTAAACACAGAGAGGAAGGATAATAGTGACTTGCCTTCATTGTCTATAGCCCCAGCACTTCCAAGACACACCTACAAAGATAAGTGCTTATACGTTTTAGTTCTTGGTTTATAGTCATTATCTACCTAAACCATACAGTTCAATCAGTTAATTACCAAATGTAAATTCATCTGTGGATAAACCCGAGGCAGAAAAAGTAGATACCAAAGCACAAGGACCTGGGATTGGAACAACCGGAACATTTTCACTAACACATAATTTGGCCTGCATTGTTATCACCATGAATAAAGTTATGAAACAAAATAGAATAGAAGTGATGATAAGAATAAACAAGCACAGTAATATCAGCACACTTACCTTCAAAACTTCCACTTTCACCACTGCATATCCAAGATTTCCTATCAGCACAAATTGCTAGAATTTGCAAATGGCAAAATAAACTACTCAGCGGGCTAGGAAAAATAAATCACTGCCAGACTTAATGTTATATTTCTGGTTATTGAAAGTGCAGTACAACCGCAAGATTGATTAAATACAAAGAAAATCAAGTAACTGCATACGGGTCCTCCAAAGAAACTACGCCATATATTTAGAAGTTGCTTACTGAATTCGCCTTTGTGGCCGATAGGTTCTCCGATAACATTCATGATGCGTCCAAGGGTGGCCCTGCCAACGGGAATCTAAACAGAAAACAAGAATAAATTAAATGTTAGTGACAAATAATTACACTTCTTCAATCTCTGAAATCTCTGAAATAGCAATAAATAGAATTCGGTATCGAGAACACGCCATCCTCTAACAACACCTTCAGTAGCCTAGCAATAGTTCTAACAACACCCTGACCTAAATGTTGAGCAACCTCCAACACAATCTGTTGCGAGCCTTCAAGAACCTCAAGCGCGGTAAGGATCGGAGGCACTCCATCTTCGAATCTCACATTCACTACAGCACCAATGATTGCACAAATATGTCCAATGGCACCTTTCCCTGTATGTTCATCAGTAATCTTTCCATCACCGCCGCAAACTTTCCTAACTGGAGGAGGAACGGGAGATGCAGCGGCAGCCGCGGTGGCGTATTCCGTTACACGGTTGAGAAAGTAAGGGGAAGGGGAAGGAGAAGGACGTGATTGAGAAGAGAGTCTCGATGTTGAGGCGGTGATGGAGGATTTGGATGGAGATGGACGGAGGGAAGATCGTACCAAAGACAAAACCTTTTTTTTCATTTTTTTTTAATTTTAATCTATAATTTATAATTTGTAATGTATTTATAATCTCCATAAAATATATATATATATATATATATATATAAAAATTGTTAACAAAATTAATTTTAATAAAAGTTAATTATTTATATAATAAAACAGAAAATATTTTATTATTATTTTAGACAAAAATATTAAACTACATTGTCATGAAAATTATAATAATTATAATAATTATAATAATTATTTATTAATTTAATTAATAAAATTGAAAAGGTTAGAAAATAAAAATGAAAGAAAAAAGTGGAAAATTAAAGGAATAAAAAAAATAGTGATTATGATTGGCTAAAGTAATTGCGACAGTTCGCCTTAACTATCACGAGTGTGGAAAGAGGGCGGTTCTTTGGTAACTGTCGCATTATTTTATACAACATGCCTAAAATATTTGCGACGGTTGGCTCAAACCGTCGTGAGAACTGTCGTAGTCCAGGAATAAAGACGGTTTTTTGATAACTGTCACAAAAAATCTACGACAGTTGACCCTAACTGTCGTGACAACCGTCACAATCCAAGAATAAGGACGGTTTTGTGATAACTGTCGCAACTCAAGTGTCGTAAATCTCCTTTTTTCTTGTAGTGATGATGTTGTGACGTGTTTCAGGACATGTTATACCAGACAGTTAGGGCATGACTATTTTGGTGATTTTAGTGTGATTTTTGAGTGTGTTCTGATGCACACGTGGGCGACTTTTATGGGAGTATATTGTGGGAATTTTTGTTATTGCAGATTCTGTTACTTTTCATAAAAAGGATCCTTGAGCCTTTTTAGGAAAGTTTGTATTTTTCTCCTATTACTATACAGATTGATTTGCAGCCAGTTTATACTAATTGTTGCTATTTGTGTGCCTTAAACAGCCCAAGTCCAATAGGTTTGGAGGCTATTTAAAGTGAAGAAAAACCCTATTGGAGTAAGAGAGCATATAGTGAGAATTTTGTGTAATAAGAATTAGCCGTTGTTTTGGTTGGTCTTTAGGGTTTTTGTTTGTTAATTGTATGTCACTCATGTATCTTCTGATGCATTGAGTTTGACTGATTACTAATTTTTCATTGTCCACTTTAATGCTTTTAAGAAAGAGTGTATTATTCTTGATTGAAACTTTTAAGCAAGACCAAATATTGTCTTGGAAGTGTGCTACTTTTAGAGTTTGTTGTTTATACAATTACTAGGATTGAGACTGTTTGATATCACTGAGGTGATTAGGAAGTGAGCGAGGATTCTCATATTTAGATGGCGATTTCTAGGTAGAAGTTGCACAAGTAGTGATTAGGTGATAAGTTGTAAACGAAGGAGTTTAACTTTGAACTAATACTATTAGTGAATTTCCTTCCTGGCTTGATAGCCCTCAGATGTAGGTGAGTTGCACCGAAGTGGGTTAACAATTCTTGTGTTGTTTTTTATTTTTATGTCATTTATTTTCATGTTGTTTTTACTTGTATGATCAAGCTATTGTTGATCCCGGCGTTGTGACATCTTTCTCGATATCTGTATCTGCGTGCCAGAATTTCAGATAATCTATTGAATACTTCTATATTTATCTCCCCTTTTGTCATATCAAAAAGATTTAAAACAAAGAAAAAAAGATATGAGAGCAGAAAATTTAAAGAAAATACCAAACAGAAGTGCATTGTCCCAAGATGGTCAAAGATAACTTATAGGTGTAGCGGTAAAAATTGTGAGTGTAAGTTATTGACTAACTTAACTCAAAAAAAACAAGAGTCACCACCACACTTTTATTTTATCCAAATAAAGGAAAGGAAAAAGAGCGAACAAAACCAAAGAGTTCTAAAATAAGAACACGAGACAGAGATCGGGGTAAGGGGGTTGGTTACGCAATGGGAAGGTGTTAGCACCCAAAACGTCTATAGTACTCTATAGGAGCCCTTTGAAATATTTACGCTTTTTGGTTTGAAAGTGGTTTGTTTGAAAAGAGATTGGGGAGATGAGAAGAGAATATTTTTTAGATTTTTGTGTTTGGAGAGACTTATCGTCTCATGCCTACGTACCCATAAAGTGCAATATGGAATCAAAACCCCGTAGTTCGTGGTACAAATGACAAAAATTTGTTGGTTTTGATTGATTTTAGATGTAAAGACAAGTCGTCATTTCAAGGAGAAAACTGCGACTATCCACCCACGAGTATTAAGACAACATTTGCGTCACATAAAGATGGAGGATTTGCTTGGATTATCAACAAGACTATCACTCAACATCAACGTGGAAAATGTCAAAGTCTTAATAATATGGGGAATAGGAGATTTACATCTCAACTATAGAAATGAATCATGTCTAAACTTTATGAAAAGTTTTAAAGTTTTAAAGTGCATAAAGGCACAAAAAGAATTGATGAGTTTTTGTATTTTTTATGTCTTTTGAAATTGGTCAAAACATGATTAACATTGATTGACTTTTATTGAGAAAAAACAAAGTTTAAAAATCACTTGACGAAAGTCAAGGTTTTATTGCGAAATCGGTTTTGAAGTTTGAAACCAAGAATGTTTTGAAAGAGGGAGAAAGTTTTGAAAATTTAAGAAGGGGAGGAGATGAAGTGACTATCCTAAAAACCAAAATAAGAGCTAGAGGTAAGAAAGATCTAACCGACTTGTAGCACACTCCATAGCAAGCAAAAAAAAGAATTCCATCCGATTTAAAGCATAAGCTAATGAGCGAGCCAAATAAAGGCTAAGATTCACAATACTCCAAGCATAGGAATGAGAGCCCTAATTCTAAGTCCAAAGGTCCATAAAGTCCAAGGTCTAAGAGTAGTCCAAGAGCATAACCACAAATTTAATAGCACCAAAATTTTTTAGATGTTTTATCCTTTATTAATGTTTTGAACAAAGTATGGTCCAAGTGGACAAAAGAAAAATGACATAAACATAAACAAAGATATGGTATGAAATGATAAAATGGAAGCATAAAAGTAAAAAATAAGGAGTAAGAAGAGAATATAAACAAAATTAAACAAGGATATTGTTAGTGAATTAATAGTTAGTGGTTAGAACATATGATCAATGATGATTAATTCTTGCACTTAGACCAAGATTAATGAAAATTCATTAGAGGATTGATAGAATCAAAGCCTCCTAACAATGATTTTCATAGGTATTGGAGTTAAGACAAGTAACTAATCATACTTGGACTTTTAAACGTAAGTTTGAGCCACGAATGATCATTTTCCGATTAAGGGACACTTTAGCGCTATGTTAAGCAATCGTAATCGGGTTTATATAGAAACCACGACTATCTGAGGCCGGTCAATAAAATGTTAGTGTTAATACATGTTAGAGAAATGATATATAAATCACTCTCCTAAAACATGCCACATAAAAAGAAAAGAGGTGATGATTGATGCGTGTTTTTCGCAAGTGTACGAATCACGTCAAAGTAATATAAAAGATTATCGAATCCACAGAGACCAAGTGTCAATCTATCGTACCTGTTGTTATGGTGTTTATCTAAGGCAACTATTTTTAAGGGTTTTAGTAAGGGTGCAATGGTAAATAAAATTATAATTTTAAATAATAAATAAAAGACAGGCTCGAATGTAATTCACGTAATCAATGATAATCCAGTACTTGTTAATGGAACTACTTATGGGCAATGTTTTCTCCTTTGAAAAGAACTAATTTAACAGGAACTGTCGCTTTCGCGTATTCAGAACCGAGTTGTACTCTCTAATCAACCCCTCCTATTGTCACGGATAAAAAGGTGCGTACTGCGTTAGAGTAGTAAACCTATTTTTAAGAAATATAGTTTCTTAACAAAGTTGAAAAGTATTTTAACCTGGACTTCTTAGCAAAAAGAGGTTCTTATGAACCAGACTCTAAATCTCATAACGCGTCCGAAAATCGTTTTAAAATCTCTTTTCTTTTTAATCTAAAAACTCCTAATGAACTATACAAAGCGCTTTTGGCTGTTTTTGAAATAGTTAAAAACAATTACTTGAATTGAAAGATAAAATAGCCCTTAGGTGTTTCCACGAACAATTATCCTGATTACTGGTTTAATTACGATCCTTACATTCTAACCTTTATGGGATTAGTTAGACATGATAAAGTAAATATTCTTTTTATAGTTTTTCATATGAGTAATTTAAAGCGAGTGCGGGAAGTAAACAAAGTAAATGTGCGAGTGCGGGAAATAAACAAAGTAAATGTGCGAGTGCGGGAAATAAACAAAGTAAATGTGCGAGTGCGGGAAATAAACAAAGTAAATGTGCGAGTGCGGGAAATAAACAAAGTAAAGTGCGGGAAAATAAATAAAAGTAAAGCAATGCGGAAAAATAAAATACGAACTGGAATTAAAATGGCGGCAGGATTAACTTCCTCCAGAGTGCTCCAAAACTCGAACCACAGACAGATTACAGACTCGATCACTCGATTGCAGAGGCACCCCGATGTGGAATGGCAACTGCTTTATAACTGATATATGCCTAGAGAATTCTAATTCTGGATGAAGAAAAACGAAAATCTAAGGTCCTATTTATAGGAGAAACTGAAAGCGCGGAATGACCGGGACGCCCCTCCACTAAAAAGTGGAGGTTGTGGATTTTTGCCTTGTGGCGCCCGCCACAGGGCCTATGGCGCCCGCCACGGTCCCTACAGGGGATGATGGAGTGGGGATCGTGGGTCTTGGAGGTTGAGGAGTGGTCTTGAGACGTGGCCACGTCATGGCTAACCCCATGGCGCCCGCCACGGTGGGTGCCGTAAGTGCAAAATGCTGAATTTCTAGGTTTTCGTCCGTTTTCACTCCTTTTTCGCTCCTTTTCCCGATTCAAGCTCCGATTATTATAAAAACCTGAAAACATAAGAAAACAAAGCAATAACAAAGCAAAACAACAATAAAAGCTAAGAATGCATGCGAAATCGGAGTCAGAAATACGGTGAATTTTAGTGTGATCAAATTCTCCCACACTTAAACCTTTGCTTGTCCTCAAGCAAACATTAAAGCTTAAGAAAAT